TTTAATACTTTGCTTGTTAAATGACTAATCTTGATTTATGTTGTATAACACTTGGTACAATAACTTTCTTTATTATTATTGTTGTTGTTATTGATGTTGTTGTTATTGTTGTTATTGCTATTGTTGTTTTTGCTATTGTTGTTGTTTATAATTTGTACAATTAACCTCCCTGTGATTCGACCCCGGTCATGCCGGGTTATTTATTACTTCGATACTCCTGCACTTGGGAGAAGATATCAATCTTTTAGTCGTGTCATATATATAAAAGGCTGGGTCTCAGTTGAGTTTACCTAAGTCGATCGAGTTTTTACCGGGTCAAATCACAACCGAGTTTTTATTTAGACTCGGATTGGTCCCAGACCCGAGTCAATGGGTTCCTAGATCAACCTGCCATGCCGATCCGGATTTCAAAACTATACTATATACCATCTTATAAAAAGTAGGTGGAGTGATTTAGGGCCAAACTTATTTTATTTGACCTTGAAACACGAGTTTGAGTTTCATTATTAGGTTTGGTGGATATCATATATCTATTTTAGTGATTAATAGATTGTAAAATAGTTAAATCAAATAAGCTCTTTGAAATTTTTGCCACCTATTAAGGATCTAATAAGATATTAGGACACATGATATACCCAAGCTTAAAAAAATACAATATATATATTAATACATATAGTAGATATATTAATACATATACTGACCTGACATATCTATCATTATTATATCATTTATTTCATTATGTATAAATTTATATAAAATAGTTATTTAGTTCATTGTTATATTTGAGAATAAAACTTTTTTTTAGTTAAATTTCAATCATTCACAATCTAATTGATGAATTTGTAAGAAATATATAATTTTTTTTATAAAAACAAATATGTTTTTGGACTTATTTAGAAATTTGGTAAAATTTACTTTACAAAATGATTTTTATTTTAAAATATATTAAAATAATATTTTTTTAATATTAACACTAATAAATAATCCAAAAATATAAAAAATTAATTTAAAGTTAATTTTTTTTTGAAAATATTTAACAGCGTAATTAGACGGGGCATTGAACAGCATGGTAGTTTGGGGTGAATGATTCGAAATTGATCTAATCATTTTTCCTTCCAAAACATGAAAAGAAAAAGGTTTACAAGGGAGCAAATCGTCAGCTTTCCTCGTATTTTATTTATTTACTCCGTATTTTATTTATTTATTATTAGTATTATTATGTGCTAATAATTACAAGATTAGCTTTGTCGATTGGAAATCTATCAGCGGAACTCCCTCTCACGTTAACTACTTTTTTTCTCTGACACCCCAAAAATCACACGTAAATGTGGCGGAGATCGGCCTCTTTCATCCTGGACAAACAACAAAGCGACACCGTTCCCCCTCAACGCAATCCCCCCCACACTCTCACTCTCCCATCCCCACCACCTCTCTCCATGGCCGATACTCTCCAAAACCCCAACCCCCAAAACAACATCTCCGCATATTACCAGACACGTGCCGCCCACCACGCCGTGGTCACCAGCGACTGGCTCGCCCAGGCCCAGGCTGCTATCGGCCATGACCTAGACGACGCCCCGGAGACTACTGTTGCAACTGTCGCTGGAAAGCCGTTTAGTGTGATTGATGAGTTCAATAGCTGGAGGAAGCAGCCTGAATTGGCGGAGGCTGTGGCGGCGATCAGGGCGCTTGCCGCCGTTATCAGGAATTGTCAGGCTACTACTATGATGGAGCTTGAAATTGAGCTTAAAAAGGCCTCTGATTCGCTTAAAGTGAGTGTAATTTTGTTGCTTCTTAAGAGTTTTGTTTGATTTCATTTGGGGCGAATTGTGATTTAATGATAAAGTTTTGATTTTGAATAACAGTTATGTGCATTAGGGTTCTTCATTTTTGTAATAAACAATGATTTTTAATTAAAGTATTATTATTAAATTCATGAAGAGGAATTTTCTTTTTTTATTGTTCGGTCTTGATGATTTAACCTATCTGTTGTGTCCAGTTATGGGACACTACCTCGATATCTTTGACAGCAGGTTGTGATCTGTTCATGCGATATGTGACTAGAACTTCTGCTTTAGAATATGAAGACTTTAATTCAGCTAAATCTCGGTTGATCGAGCGTGCGGAGAAGTTTGGGGAGATATCTTACAAGGTATTTTAGCAAATCACTGCTAGATGTTGCAATGATATTTCTATTAGGTTGTTTCTATATGCTATTTATGCCAATATTGATAGTAGAAGGAATTGTTGTTTAATATTGCAGGCACGTAGGATCATTGCCATGCTTAGCCAAGATTTTATCTTTGATGGTTGCACGATTTTGGTGCATGGTTTCTCCAGAGTTGTGTTGGAAGTTCTGAAAACAGCGGCTCAAAGTAAAAAACTCTTTAGAGTCTTCTGCACAGGTTCTGTTTCTCAACACTCTTTTATCTGCTTAGAGTGTCCCTATCTTACTTAAAATTACCCTTAACATTTACTCTCTAAAATGGGCTCAAGTTTATAACTTCCATATTGCATTTTTTCTTATGACTATTTGCTTGGTCAAAAGCATGTGTAGAATAGTAAAAAATCATATTGCCCATTCCCTAAGCATGGTGCTGGGCGCAAGAAAGGAAAATGGCGCTGCTCATTTTACATATAAGTACCTACTTTGTTTTTAATGAATAGCTCCTCTTTTTTTGGCCTTTTATTTTGAGACCAACATTTATTTTTATATGGTTCTATACTGGGTTACCTGTTCACTAACTTTTCATACTTGTAAATTGTAGAGGGAAGGCCTGATAGGACAGGCTTACGGTTGTCCAATGAGCTGGCCAAGCTTGATGTTCCTGTGAAACTCCTTATAGACTCTGCTGTGGCATATACTATGGATGAGGTAGACATGGTGTTTGTTGGAGCGGATGGAGTGGTTGAAAGTGGAGGTATAATCAACATGATGGGAACATTCCAGATTGCATTGGTTGCACACAACATGAATAAGCCTGTTTATGTGGCTGCTGAAAGCTATAAGGTATTCCAATCTGTACCTTTTGGGTTATATAGATAGATAATCACCCAACTTATCTCATTGGTAATAAACCAGCTGCAGCCAGTGCATGGTTTGAAACTGTATTTTATCATCAACAGAAATTTAAATAGGAATTTGCCAACAGGTTTTTTTTTTTTTTTAACTTAATGATAGTTACATATTGATACTCTTCCTTTTCAGTTTGCTCGTCTCTATCCATTGGACCAGAAAGACATGGTTCCTGCTTTACGCCCAATTGATTTTGGGGTGCCCATTCCATCAAAGGTTGAGGTTGAAACATCTGCTCGGGACTATACTCCTCCGCAGTATCTTACTTTACTCTTCACTGATCTTGGTGTACTGACTCCATCTGTTGTCAGTGATGAACTCATTCAGCTATACTTGTAGTCTGTGTTTGAATGTAATTTTGTTTGATTTTTTTTAACGTAGCTACTGATCACATTACTAGTTTTTGACATGTTGCATGTTGGATGCCCATGTATTCTATATATATAATTTTTTGACAATTTTGAATTCAATCAAATAACAGTCAAGTCAAGTCTGGACAGGCAAAGTTGTACCATTTAAAGTTGGATCCTAGGTGAAATTTTCTAGATGAGGTGAATTTGGTGATCAAGAGCAATTGCGACCAAGCCCTTCTGATGGAAAAGTTGCAACCACAAAAATTTTCTTGTGCCAACTTTTTTTTTTTTGAAGAGTGTCATATTATCTCTTTGTGGAAATTCATCTAAAGATATATTTTAACAGGATGAAATAAAGTTTTAGCTTTTGGTAAAAGTGATGGAATTATTATTTTTTGTTTATTTTTAGAGATCCATCATCATGCCCTTATGCTTTGTTCTCTTTCTTTATTACAAGCTTGTTAAATAACTAACCTACCTCGTTAACAACAAAATTTCTATCCATTCATTCTAATAAAAGTAAAATTACAGGGAGTAAAATTTTTAAAGGTTTGACTGACAAAATTCCTCCATGGTTAATAAATTTATAAATTAAAGGAGATTTTTGTTGTATTTTTTTTAAAAAAAACCTGAATGGAATTGTGGTCAAATGTTTATAGTTTCAGAAGGTCTATAATTTCTTGATACGTCAAGAGTTGTTGCAAGAGATGATTCTTATTCTATCCTTTTGTTTGAAGTGAAAAGTTAATTTCTCCATATGTTTTATATAATTGAGAAAAAAAAGAGCAAAAATGGACAACCCTTTTGCAAGGAATATCCTTAAAGATAAATCATGACTCTTCTCTTCACGAAGCTTGTAAAACTGGGATTGGGATTATTTGCAGAAATGACAAGGGGAAGGTTAAAGGTGGCAGGGCTGCCCGATGGTGGTGGTGTTGTTATTATGCTCTTCATTGTGAAGCCATGGCAGTACAACCGGCGGTGATTTTAGGGAGCCAACTCAGGTCATCGTGGAAAAAGACTCTTCGACGTTGCTGAATGCATTTGAATTGTGTGATTGGTAAATCAGACCTATCATAGGAGACATGAAGCTCTAATTTAGCAGTAATTCTTAGATATTTTAGTTCGATCAATGAATACAATTGAACTGATCTGCTGTTAATTATGGATTTTCTATTTTCTCTTGTTATCACCAAAACACCGAGCGTGAATTACAAGTGTAGAGAAGAAACAACTATAAAGGAAGAGCAGCCACCTCAATAATAAAATCTTGCGTTAATGGGGGTTTTTAGTATGTTTTTCTGCTGTTCAATATACAGGGGACACCGTCAATAAGAGAAGCCTGCCAAGAGGCTTTCCTCGCTGTTCCTTACCAGGTATCAAATTTTGGAATTGAGAACATATTAACAAAAGCTAACTGGACTGTAAGTGGGTTTACCTTTTATTGAAATTCAATAATATGACTATTGGGAATAATATCATATTTTTGTAAGGTTTATTAATTATTATTAAATTGGTCCAGAACAACTTGTTTTTTTATATATTTTTTTTAAAGAACCATGAAATTACTAAATTAATCTTAAAAATAAAAATTTATTTAACTAGTGTTCAAGGTTTTTCTTATTTATTTTTATCCTAATTCTTTTTAATTATAATTAAGTTGACTTAAAAAAACTAAAGATGGCTAGTTAGGGTGAGCTATTTTTTTTAAAAAACGATGAAATTACTAAATTAATCTTAAAAATAAAAATTTATTTAACTAGTGTTCAAGGTTTTTCTTATTTATTTTCATCCTAATTTTTTTAATTATAATTAAATTGACTTAGAAGCTATTTGATATTTTAATAAATATAAAATATAATTTAAAAACTAAAGAGGGCTAGTTAGGGTGAGAGGCACCCACGATCCTTTGACAATTCATGTTGTATCTCCCAAGGTCCAAACAACAGCTTTTGGGACCACGTTGGAAGCGTTGAAATGTCTCCTTCTATGTTTGGCGATGCATGGCATCGTTTTTGCATGAGGTTCACACCGATTGATAATTTTCGCACAAAAAATATTCTTTATTTCATTCGAGTTTTTCCACTAAATAACTATAATTTTCACCATCGGTCACACAAAAAAAATTCTTTTATTTTTTTTTCAATTGGAGATTTATGTGATTTATCACGGGCGGGCATTTTACATACCAATTTATTACTTTATTTTATTTGATATTTAAACTAATTTATTGGGAGCTTTCACCTTTAATCATAATTTCTTTTCATCTTATATTTATTATTTTTTAGTTGAAAATTACCCTATTTAACACTTATTTACAATTTTGAGTTAGGGGTTTACAACAAATATTTCATTTTTTGAGGTTTTTTTTTGGTTAATTAGTTATTTATTTATTTCATCTTTCTACATATGGATTGTTAAGAATTAACCATTATTATATTTTTCAATTTGTTTTCTAGTCTAACCTCACAATTCAAGTTACAAGTCATTACCCTATTTAACACTTATTTACAATTTTGAGTTAGGGGTTTACAACAAATATTTCATTTTTTGAGGTTTTTTTTTGGTTAATTAGTTATTTATTTATTTCATCTTTCTACATATGATTGTTAAGAATTAATCATTATTATATTTTTCAATTTGTTTTCTAAGCTAACCTCACAATTCGAGTTACAAGTTTGCTAAATTAGTTCGAGTTGACATGAGATGCTTTATCTTATTATTATTATTATGTTTAATTTTTCTTTTAATATTAGGTTATTTTGGAATTTAACAGTGAAAAATATTAGCCGTCTATTTAGTTAGAATTTATTATTATATATGTATTATATCCTTCACAAAACACTATTTACCATAATAATGTGTTTTTTTTTTCAATTTTACATTTTAACAACCCAATCTTTTTTTATGTAATTTTTTTTAATTTATTCTTTAATACTGGATTGTTTTTGAAAATTATACTTCAAAATATTTTTTATTTTTTTCTATTAGTTTATTTACTGGTCGCATAAATTTAATTTTTTCCCTCGATTTCAATATTATTTTTGTTGGAAGTAAACACTTTATAATTTTTTTAATTTGTTTTATATGAATTTATCTTGATATTTAGGTTTTTTTCTTAGCTGATTTTTTTTATTGATTTTTTATTTTATTCTTCAATAATACTTTAAGTTATTTCATTAGGAGAAAAAAATGAAAGTAGGGGATACATATTTGCCATTAGAATTGTCATAATTTGTCTATCCGTTTCTGCTGTTGTTTTTAGCACAGCACTAAGTTTAAGCAATTCAATAAATTCCTGAAAAAACTATGGTCATTGTTATTTGCCTCCTAATTTTTATGCTCCTTACATTAGCCCCACTTATGTAATCTTTAATGTTAATGAATAATTAAAATAAAAATAAAAACTAATTTAACATGAAATCCAAAAAGTTTAAAAGTCCACCTTTCAAATATTATTGAGATAACAAGAGGTCATTAATTTCTAAATCGTGCTAAAATGTTGGAGGATAATTTTTTTTAATATTTGTTTATTAATTAATGATTAAAAATCAAACTAACCTTGAAATTTGGGAGGTTTGGAAGATGGATTATCAAAAAGTTCTTGAAATGAAAGACGAATATAGGATCTTACAAATGTGTTGGAAGATGGATTCCAGCATTTTTGTTTTTTTGAAAATGACAAAGTGTGAGTTTAGGAAATTAACAAAATACTAAAAGAGAGGAGAGGATGCTTTTACTACATGACACTTCACAAAATACTATTAGTTTTAATAGTGATTATTTTTTAAATTTAGTTTTTAGATAATTTTGATTTAAGTTTTTTACATTTGGTTTATTAGAGATTGATTTTTATGATTTGTTTTTTATGAGGTTATCACAATCTCGTGATCGATATCACATGTTTAGTGTGTTGACTTGATTTTTATGAGGTTATCACAATCTCGTGATCCATATCACATGTTTAATGTGTTAACTTGATATTTTTTTATTGATATTTTTTTTTATTTTCAATTTTATTCTTTAATATTTTATTGATTGAGACTTAGATTTCATTATTTATTTTGATTTATTTTATATGAGGTTATCCAGGTCTTATGACCCGAGTCGTGAGTTTAATATGTTAACTCAAGTTAACTTAGTTATTTTTGTTTTTTTAATTTTTTTTTAAATTTCATTTTTCAACTTTTGGTTGAATGAAAGTTGTGCTTCATATTTTGTTTTGATTTTTTTATGAAATTATCCTAAGATCTAGATTGCATATTTTATAGGTTAATTCGTGTTAAATTGGATTGCTTTGGATTTGCTTCCTACGAGGTTATTCAGGTGTCATGATCTAAGGTCACAAATTGTGTTGATTGCGATTTAAAAAAATAAATTCATCATTTAACATTGTATTGATTGAGAATTGAGTTTCATAATTAATTTCAATTTGTTTTATATGAGATTATCTTAGTCTTATTGATTAGTACTTAAAAGTGCATTTTTATCATGGTTTTATATCATCATTTTGCACTTGAAGTATCAATAACTCCTTAACTAAAACATGTTTTATAATAATGTATCTAATAATATAAGATACCTATAATTTATGGTAAATGTCTATTTTTAATGCAGGCCTATCACATAAATGAAAGGATTGATTGATGACTTGAAGAACTTAAATTGCAAGGATAAAGAGATTTTTTTCATAAAAAATATTTATTAGATTATTAGAGTTGAAAACATTCTTTTAATTGAAAACAACTCATAGTTGTTAAAAAGATAGGTTTTGTAAGACACAAACTTATTTATAATGCTAAAGATTATTGGTACAATGTTCTAAAAGATAGAGAGAGTTTATATTGGTAAGAGTGTGATTTTATCATGAAATACCACTGTAAGAAGATTATTAATTTTGAAGTTTATGTAAGAAGATTATGAAGATATTTTATACTGAATATATAAGAAATTAGATTATTATTACTTGCTTTCTATTCAATCTTGTTAGTTATTAAGGAGGCAAAACATAAAAGAGAAGAAACTTGAGGTGGTAGTTGATCTTAAGAAGATAGAAAAGAATTGAAAAAAGAAAACATTCCCAACTCACACATACGAAGCGTTCTAGCTATAGAATCTATTCCTAAAGAAGCAGAGAAGAGAAA